TGTAACCGAGCACTTGAGGAGGAGGACACGGGCTAGGACCCACACTTAGTGTGTGAGGTGTGATTGCATAGTGATTGTATTGTGAGGTGTAAACGTTGTTCGGGTGAACGTAGAAAACCCGGTTGTGATAGTGGAGATCTCCTCGAGGTGAGGAGCGGAGACGTAGGTCGTGGGGACCGAACTCCGTAATCATATTGTTTGTTTGTGATTGCATTAGCGCACTTACTTTTATGTTCATATCTTATATCGTCTTTGTATATTGCTTGTTGATTATATTGCCCACTATCTAGTTTAGATTGTTTACCCTTGAGTTTATATATCCTTGCACATACATTGCCTATATCTCTTTGTTAGGATATATCTTGTTGTTCATATTGCTTATCCTAGCTCATGTACATTGTTGTATTTGATACTTGCTAGGATAACTCATTAATTAATTTTTATTGGCATAAAATCGGATTAGATTATAAGACCCTAATCACCCCCCCCCCTCTAGGGTCTAACATTCATCCCTTGTACGCTTTGATGTTTCCTCACCGGTAGGATTATTTGGGGGGTTGATGAAGTCATCGTCACTGCTGGGCATGTTCACAGTGCGTGTTGTCCTCTGTTGAGGTATAGGTGTAAATACCTCAACACTCTCAACACATGTTGTTTGTTTGTTCCTTGAGCTAGATCATAGACCTGCTAAACCGATGACAATTCATTTTTTAATGAGACCAGCCTTTGAATAATGCATGGCAAGCATGAAGGTGGAATCACATTATTGAATCAAGATATTATAATATGAATCGCGATTCACTCCAGTGAATAGCGATTCGCTGAAATGAATCTCGTTTCACTCCACTAAATCGTGATTCACTTGAGTGAATCTCAATTCACTCCATTGAATCACTGTAGTCAATCTCGATTCACTGTAGTGAATCGAGATTCACTCAAGTGAATCTCGATTCACTACAGTGAATCTCGATTCACTCAAGTGAATCGAGATTCAACAAAATGTATTGAGATTCAGCAAAGTGAATCCAGATTCAACAAAATGTATAGAGCTTCAGCAAATTGAATCTACATTCAATGATATGAAACCAACTCCATGACATACCATACATTGTTTCAGTGTCTCGTCCCCCAACTCCATGACATACCATACATTGTTTCAGCATATAATTTTTCCATCCTATATACTCGGCCTCGGATCATATTTTGGAAAGTTTTCATCCTATATACTCGGCCTCGGATCATATTTGTTATTTTTTACAAACAAACAAACAATCATGATAAAGTTGAAGTTTAAAGAGCAATCATTTTTCTGTAACTGGTAATAACATCCAATATATGAATCTCAATTCTCTACGAAGTATCAGGATTCACATTAGTGAATCGAGATTCTCTATGTTTGAGTGAATACAAATTGACTCCACTAAATAGCGATTCAATTGAGTGAATAGAGATTCATCCAATGAATCGCGATTCATTCTAGTGAAACTCGATTCACCGCAGTGAATCTCGATTCACTCAAGTGAATCGAGGAGATTTAACTACAGTGCATATTGCAAAATCCAGACAACCAAAATTAATCGCTACCCATTTAGGACAAATGAAAACATCTTACAATATTAAAAAAAACTTAACTTATTCTAACAAGATCAAGGAAAATGTAAAAAATAAAAACCCTAAAGTAGAACATGCATCGATAACATTTTATAAAGCTAAAAAAATAAAATAAAAAAGTATTCAACAACATGCAAGTGATTCATGTCTAAATTTCGAAACTTTCCTCACTAAATCTATGAAAAATGTTCAAACTTTGATAAAAATTTACATTTTTAATACGAGGGTTGGAATCGTTTTACCTCTTCTTGAAGATGAGGGTTTTGGAGTCTCTGAGTTGTTTTTCTTCAACTCGATCGTCGAAGGCTTGCTGTTCGTCTTCGTTCGAGTTGTAATGAGATGTTGAAAGAAACCTAAGTGTTGACAAATCGACGGAATGTGAAGAGTTTAGTTGTTTGGGTAGAGAGAAGATGAAACTGGATTCAAGATAGAGTGAAACTGAATCGACTTGTTCGTGAAAAGAAGTGTTTGACAGCTTTTTCTAATTAATTACAGCGTGTTTCATTAACAACTCTTTCCTAAATTACCCCTTTTACTGGTATTTTGTCAGCTGATGTGTATTTATTTTCAATTCTGTCATTTTCAATCTTGACCATTGGATGAGATAGAATGTAGGGTTAGGATTGGTTTTTAGTTTTCTAGGTTTTAAAACATATAGACATAATCTAAACATTCAACATTTGAACAATTAAATTACATTTATTGATTGATTGGGCAATAATACAACATTGGTTGCATCTATAAGTATCGTGAATACATCAAGTTTATTACTCATTGCAATATTTATTACATAATAATTGTTAACATGAATTGGCTGATAGATTGTCATGTATATTTAACACCAAGATAGTTTAAAAACTAAGTTATGATATAGGATCTTGACCCTTTTTAAGTAATTAGTCTTTTTATTGCACATTTGTCAACATTAAGAACTAAAATGTTATTGACATGAGAGTAAATTATGGCTACATAAAATATAGAATACCCAATTAAAACAACTGACAATATATCTTTGCATCTCATTGCACTTTTAGTGTAAGTTTGCATTCATATATCATTTGATAATATCTTGCAAAGTTACTTGCAGAATAGACTTCCTTCTTGATATTGCAATAGAATGTCAATCTCATACTTGAAATTACTATATATGAACTAAATTGAAACTTTTCTATGGATTGTATTGAACATTTCTAGCAAGGCAAAAAAAAGGGGGCGAAATTGTCCAATGCAAATTCTGGAAGCATATTTTTTCACAATCATCCAACATATGCAAACAATATCCTATCAGACAAATAAGCAAGGAAAGGACAAGGAGGCAATGGAAAATTACCAATCGCTCATTGACCGACAGTTCAATATGGCCCCTGCCACTTGCAATTTATTACTTACTACTCTATTGAAGCATGATAAGGATAAAGAAGCTAACAAGCTATTTCAGAATATGCTAGATAGACATAATCATCCAGCCTATTTGGCTCTTAATACTGAAACATATAATATTATGGTGAATTGGAAATTCGATCTGCAGAAGTTTGATGAGGCGATTGAGGTTTTCCACAGAACTGGTAGAAAGCCCCTGCATATGGATGTTGGTTGCTTTAACAATGTAATTGGAAAGTTGTGCGACAATGGGGTGGTCTCGTAGGCAGAGAAGCTGTTTGATGAGATGCCCAAAAGGTTAGTATACCCAGATGTAGTTACCTATGACTTTTTGGTTGATGCATGTTTCAAAGAAGGGAGAGTGGATGATGCCTTGAAATACTTCGACTCCTCCGTAGTTGCACAAATGAAGAAGAAGAAAAAATTGTAAGTTCACCAAGTATAGCCTTCTGCTCATGCGGATCACACCACAGATGTCCTCACAACCTATAATATTTGACTACTCAGGAGAGGGACAAACTACTTGATAATTTGTTTGTCAAAACTTTGTTCAAATATCGGACTATCTTCACCCATGATTTTTTCAAAGGTATTGAATCCTAAATTGATCACATGATTTATTCAAAGGTAACTATCTTCACCCATGATTTTTTCAAAGGTATTGAATCCTAAATTGATCACATGATTTATTCAAAGGTATTGAATCCTAAATTGATCACCGTCCACAGGTATTGAATCCTAAATTGATCACATGATTTATTCAAAGGTATTGAATCCTAAATTGATCACCGTCCACAAAAAAATGTTACCTTTGTCCATTGTTGAAGAAATGAACTTAACGTGCATAAGTATAATGTGAACTATGTCATATTGAACCAAAAAATAATAATAATAAGATAAGAGGAACAAAATGACTTACCCAACAACCGAGAAACTATATCCATCAAAATGCAAAGATTGCATTGTGTTTTCAGTGTTCTGAAACACAATCTTGATGAAATCATGCAAACCAAGTTGAACGACAGGCGTCCCAGTAACATTATAGTTGAATTTATACTATAGAAATATGTTAAAGAAAAAGGGTTCGCAAATGGATTTTCATGTATATTAATAGTTTTGACAAAAATTTCATGATTAAGATATATTTCTTCAAGCATGAATAGTTTGTAGTAAAAAGGAAAAAGAAATGTGATGCAATGGTTTTGTAACGCTATACAGGTTAAACCTCATTTTGTAAAACAGAACAAACCTACCTCACTTCTAGCAGAGCTGTTAATCATAACAGATGGTCTTATAGTAGGTGGTTGAATAGGAAGAAGTTGTAATATCATCCAATCCGGACGATCATCTATCGGTATGAAACCTAGTAGTAGGCAATCTTCATTGATTATTCTTTTAAAAACACTGAGAACCTGGCCATGTCATAAAACAGATACAAATAAATTTGGGCTACTAAAAGAAATAAATTACAATAACAATTTTGTAAAATTAGCTACCTTCTCTATAGAAAGCTATTGTTTCATCTCAACAGGTTCAGGAAGCTGTGCTTAGTCATCATATTTCTTGCAAATGACTCATCAACAATAGTTTGTGTGCAGTATAGATAAGTAAAAAATAGTTGACATGCAAATTTAAAGTAATAAAGTGAATTATTCTCTGAATATGTATTTATATTCACATAATTGAATGTTAAATTTAAGTTAATAACTGCAATAACAATCAAAGCATGCAATAGTTATCAAACAACTATATGAGCATATGCGTATAAATAATAAATTATCCTAACAAATTAAATTCATCTATTCATAATCTTAAAAACATATGAAAAGCTCATTTAAAATCCTTCAACCAATTTGTAAATGTAATTAAAATTAAAAAACATTCATGGTTTTTTTTGTGGGCCCTTGATCAACCATTCTCCACCTTTATCTTCTTTTTTGGTAAATCAAGAACTGAATCATCATCATCAATGTTGATTGTGATGTCTTCTTAGATTTGGATTTCTTATGCTATTATCTTTCCTTGTGCACGTTCATCCTTTGAGTTCTCATCCAACTTTACAAGGAACTTGTATGTCTTTCCGATGTTGAGAACAAACTTTTGAAAGAATGAACTCTGATTTTTTTCTGTTTTAATGAGGAAAAAATTAAGATCTTATACATGAAACATATTGTTTTATATGTATAAAATATAATAAAGTAAGAAGTTACCTCTTTTATATCATCCATGAATTTTTGAGCATTGCATCCTATTAAAGTTTCTGCTGCGTCAAAAAGTGTGACTCTTGCATTATCTCTTTTATCTTCCACTATGATTTTAACAACATACCTACATTTTGTATTATCATTGTGCATCAGATGATATTTTTATGATTTTAACAACATACCTACATTTTGTATTATCATTGTGCATCAGATGATATTTTTATATTTAATCTTTATATTTTTCTTTCATGAGATCAGATGATATTTTTATATTTAATCTTTATATTTTTCTTTCATGAGTAATTGATAGTACTTTACCTCGATATACTGTCTTCATTGTTTTTTTGATAATTTTGACATTTGTCATAAATAGTTTTGTCTACTTTTTTATTGCAGCCTTTGCATGAGTAATACCAAGCCTCATGTCTATTTAAGATATTACTTATTTTTCCAGTAAAGCTGCCATATTGTGCCTGTAGATTTGTAAAAATTTAGTTAGTTATAATCTTAGTTTACATATATTTAGTAAATAAAATAAGAAATTATAAAATAATTGAAAAAATATAGTAAAAATGATTTTTTTTAAAAATTAATGTAAAAGTAATAATTGTAAATGTATTTGAAACATCAATGAAACAAGATCTATTTATATCAGCTTGTTTTGAAACTGAAGCTCTTGATTCATTAATATTTTATAGTAGGATTTTTAATATCATACCTTTGATGATTCTTGTGAAGCTTGCATAATGTCAACAATATTCATTTTCGCTGTATTTTTAAATAGCCTTGACGGAGCACCATTAGTCTTGATCTTGTCTTTTGAAAGAGCCATGTATAAAATTTTAAAAATATTTAAATTTTAATTTATTAAGTTATATTTTTTATTTGAATTACCATTCTTGCATGTCTTTAGCAAGTTGTATTTCAGGGTTGATACATATTGTTGATGCAATTTGCAAAGTCATGCACATCTCCCCTGCATATATAATAGTTATAATTAGAATTTGATATTTATTGATAAATAATTTATAATTCAATAATAAAAAATGTTACCTTTGTACAATGATATTTTAAAATCTGATAGCGCTATTATAGTTGTCTCATGCATATTTTCTTCAATAATTGAACCTTCATTACCCGCTAAATCTCCGAATAAAGTTACAGACAATGTTATCTCACTGTGTAAAAAAAGTTAGACAATTTTAGGTTAATATATTATATTTTGAATAATTAATTTATTGTGAAATAAAAGCATGGGTGTATACTCTTTGTCTACTATAATGATGTCTTGTCTTGTGTCCGCCTTATTATATCTTGTAACGTACTTGATCATAGGCTTGACATTTGCTATTATTGCAAGAACATCTGCACATAAATTTATAATAAGTTTAAAATTCATGTATAAATTTTTAAATTAAAAATAAAAGGTGTTTACAAATACTTACTTATATTCCTTGTATCCTCGTTGGAAATTGTGTCTTTGATTGAGATAAAGTTATTTAATATCTTATCAAATTAAAACTCTACTTTTGATTCTTTGATAGAAATGTTCTTAGTCAATGTCAACTCAATTGACTCATGTACATTTCCATAAAACGGGTTTATTGGTTTGACTTCTCCATTTGAGATGTAAACAACATGATTCTTTTGAAGCATGTGCTTATACATTTCAATAGTTTCTCCAAACATAATACCTTGTATTTTTCCCCCTGCAAATATTAATAATATTATTTCACAAATAACTAATACATTAACATTCATTTAAGCCTAAGATAAATAAGATAAGTAATAGATGACGTAAGTTATGTATAAATGTAGTTTTATGTGGGAAACTTTTAACTAATCATTCTATAGATTTTACTAAAAGGTATCCATAATCTTCAGGTCCATAAAAAATTACCTTTTAATTCATCAAAAAAACTAACCTTATTTATATAAAGTTACATGTTATTGAATTAGAATTTCTACTACTTACTAATAAGTCAATTGATCTCAATTAACAAATTTAATTGTTTATACGGATTAGCTCTTTGTAAACAATTCCAATAGGCGCTACTTGTATAAACAATTCCACCAAAGTTTTGCAACACCAACTAAGTTGAGGGACTAACATGATAAATTAATATACTCAAAATTTAGCTTGATCATGCAACTAAATAATAAATTTATGGTAAATATGCTTATTAAAAATTTAGTCTAAATAATAACTATTTTGCTGCGGTGTGTATACAATGTTGTGTTGATGTCATATTCCAATTATTTGTTTGCTTATATTGTTAGACATATGTAGACAATTAATTTACGTAGAATTAGGAAGAAACCATGATATTTGTTGTATAAAATTTGCAAAAATGAATTAAATGTTGCTTACCTCTTTAATAAATGCACAAATTTTTTTATATGATCTTATACATAGTAAGGTGATAATAATTAATATAAGAATAAGCATCAACAATTATAATTTAATTTATATTTATAATTTATAAATTTTTAAAAAAATTGAGAAGGATCTGCATAGATTTAAAATAACGATTGCTATGGCATGATAAAAAGTGATGCATATTGTACTTAAACATTGTATGTATTACTTTATTTAAGAATAAGTATAAACCATTATCAATAGAATTATAGCATGTAGAATTTTGCTACATTACCACTGAGTCGGCAAAAATAATTTTTAGTAGTTTTCCTGACCCTTTGTTGTTCTCATAAGATGACTCAATAGTTCTTAGGATAACAACATGAATGGTCCACTCTCTTTGAAACTTTTTTAGTTGGCGTATTTGGATGTGTGGAATTGGTGCTTCGTTGGTGGATGACATTATTCCTGCAAGATTTTGAATAGTTTGTTATATATAAATAACAACGCATCTGAAGTACAAAATAAACTCAAAAGAAAATAAAATGAGACTATTTTTATATCAAAGATGTGACACTAATTATAGTAATTTGAATTATTAATTAATATTATTTACAATGTTTAAATTTATTTTAATTTTGATTAGTAAATGATTTTGAACGAACAGAGTGAATGATGTAATAATGAATTGTAATTTTTTTTAATATTTTTAAGAAAAAAACTTTAATAAAATTGCAGCTACTTATTATATAAATTCCTAACCTTCAAAAATGTTATTGGTCATTTGAATTATTCCTCGTGGTCCTTTGGCTGGAGAACTTCCTTGTACACAACATTCTTTGTGTATTGTTCCTCTTCTGCAAATTTTCCATCTGATGTTATTAAGACCTTGGTTGTCATCATAGAAGTACCCCGCGATAAAGCAACATATAATTATCCATGAGAGAACACTGGTTCAGGTAGATAAATACCTACGTTAGGTATTGTTTACCCTTGGGATTTATTAATTGTCATTGCAAAACATAATCTTATGGGAAATTGTTTGCGTTTGAACTTGAATGGTAATCCTTCATCTTCTGCTGGTGATAATGGTATTCTTAGCAAGAAAACTTCTTTTCCAGCATGTTGGCCCATTGTGATTTTAGCTTGAATTACATTGTAGTTAAATTCTTGACATACCATTCTTGTACCGTTGCACAGTCCATTAGTTGGATCCAAGTTCCTTAGTAAAATAATTAGACAATATTTTTTCAACATGAGCTTGTGTGGTGGTAATCCATTAGGGAGCAGAGTGTTCAAAAATTCTTCTTGGTAATGATGATTAGTGTCATCAACTGCTTCATCAAAGCTATAGAAATCTTTTCCTTCTCCTGGAAACCTTTTTATTAGTCTATCATTTAACATGTCAACATATTCATTTTTTGTTGCAAGGATAGCTCTATCTTTCATATAGTCAATAGACTTGAAATTTTCATCTAAAGATGGAAAAATTGAATTTATGAGAGAATCTTCCGGTAGGTCGTCACCTTGATTCTGGATCAACATTGCATTAGGCAGTTTTATGAGATCCTGTGTCACTGTTGGTTCATCTCCATTCCCAATCCTAAGAAGAAATTCACTGAATGTTGTGTCTGATTTTGCTCTCATATTTTTTGAAAGTTGTAGTTTGATCATTTTGCTCCATAAATGTGAGCTTACTAAACTTTCTTTGATAGTTTGTGATCTTGTTGATCGAGGCACCACTGGTAAAACTTGTCTGAAATCACCACCAAATACAATTACTTTTCCTCCAAATGGTTCATCTTGATCCATTAAATCTCTTAGTGTTCTATCCAACGTTTCAATTGTAACGCGTTTAGCCATAGCAGCCTCGTCCCAAATTATTAGACGAGCTATTCTAATGAGTTTTGATGTCCCATCTTGCTTTGATATACTACACATAGATGAATCTATTGTTGGGATTTTGATTTTAAATCTGGAGTGTGTTGTTCTTCCACCAGGTATTATTACAGCTGCGACACCTAATATCGTTGTAGCAAGAGCTATCATACCTTACGATCTTACTGTGGCAAGTAGAACACGATATAAATAAGTCTTCCCAGTTCTTCCTGGACCGTCAATAAAGAAAACTCGACTTTTATTTGCTTCAACTCGTGTTAATATTGTAGTGTATGCAGTATGTTGTTCATAGTTGAGTTTTGTTGCAGCATTTAGATCATCAGTTGGGATTTCTACATTTAGCTCTTCTTTTATTTCTCTTGGGTATGAACCTTCCTCTGTAATGGTTTTTGCTTGTAAAGGTGGCAAATCAAATTTTTTAATATCCTTTCCCATACTCTCTAAGTAGAAGTTAATATTGAGAAGAGTATCATTTATCACCGAAGCTCTAGTAGCATTTGGTTTCCTTGAGAAGTCTTCAGATAATGAATCAAGATATTGATCCCACAAACAATTAACATCTGTGGGCTCACAATGAACCAATATAGATGCAAACAAACGTTGAAGTGATGTTGGCATTTGGAAGACGATGGCTTCATCTAAGCACTCTCTTATGCTATCATCATATTCCAAAAGACCTAATTTCTGGGCTGATTGCTTGAAAGATTTGTAATGAATACCATTTACCGTCAGTAGATCCTCAAATGATGTTGGACACCTAACGTGAGTAAGCAATAGTCGCAAGTAATATCTCTCTTCTTCAATTGGATTAGCCCTGTTTATTCGACCTATCACTTGTCTCTGTTTTCTTGGACTCCAAGATTTTGATGTTGAATCCCAAACATAACATTCAGGAAATTCCACATATAATAACTCCTTTTCGTGGTCCTTTTCATGTTTCTTCTTGTTACCTTCTTTAATTTTTTTACACATAGTAAAAAATTCTGTAAGCATCGTCTTGGAGACATGTTCCAAGTGAATCAATTTCGATAGGTCTTGATGTTTCCAATAAAAAACATATTGATGATTTGGCATGTGAAGTTGTAAGTTAATGACAACCGGGAATATCTCATTAAGATGGAATTCATATATTCTCCAGAAAGCTTCCTGAACTGATACCCATCTTGCATCTTGAAAATTTTTGATTTCATTCACAACATTTTCACCTTCATTATACTCAATGTTTACTGCCACTCTATCATGGCCTTTATATATATACTTATAAAGGTATTTCACTGCTTTTATGCCTGAGCATATTTCAACATTGATGTGACAGTTATAACGTATCAGAAAATAGGGATTGTAAGGTACCACCCATTGATTATTAAGGATTTTGTTTCGAACCAACATTGTTCTATTATTTTTGCTCCTTTTATAAATTGGGTAAGCATCTTTCGCTTGTACTGATCTTGGAGAAAACTCTCTAGGGTAGTGATATTTGCACTCGCTCTCTCTAGGGTAGTGATATTTGCACTCTCCATTTTGCATGCAAACATTCTTCATATCTAACTCTCCACAAGGGCCATGCATCATATGTTTTTTTACCAGTTCATATAGGATTGGATTTTCATACTGGTTTGGAATTTCTGCTGATACGTACTTATCATAATGATCTGATGAGACGATTTTGTGCTTTCCCATTAGAATAATTAACATGTGTGCATGAGGCAACCCTCTTTTTTGAAACTCGATGACATGAACATGGACAGCAACTTTTCCAAAGATTTCCTTTTTAAATAGCTGATCTTTCAGGTCTTGCAATTTTGCTCTAAATATCCTTGAGGTTAGATCCGGTCTATCATTATGTGTCTGTCCTGGATGTAGCTCCTCCGTGATTTCTTCCCATTCAGGATTGCATGTCATTGTGATGAAAAAATCTGGTTTGCCAAATCGTTGTACTAATGACATTACATCAAGATATCTACGACGCATATCTCTAGGACCACCAATAAATAATGATGGCAGCACTATTCTTTTTCCGACTTGATATGCTTTTACTTCCCCAGCAGCTACACTATCGACTATGCCTTGGAATAACTCTGCTCTGATTTCTGCTTGTTTCTTTCTAAAATAATCAAGTCTTGTTGTTTCAAGCTTTATGTACATATCAACAGCATATTAATGGAACAACCGGTCAGCCGATGTTAATATAGTAGATTGTCAAGTGTCTCTTATCTGGAACTTGTAACAATAATATTCTCGACATGAGACGCTTCCTGTCTTTGGTGCTTTAACACCTACAAGTTTGTAGGTTAAGTTAATTTTTAATATTTTAATATTATTAAACAATTTTAATTATGATTTACCTTCCCTTTCTCATTTAAATATGTCTTCTGCAGATGTAAAAGTTTGCTAAGTCACTTGAGATGTTGTATTTACTTGTTTTGAACGGCGAATATCATTTTTCTCCCTTCTTTTAATATTTTGGTGCCATCCAACATCTCCGCCTGGAAAGAGTAAAGGATACTGTAAAGGATCATAACAACCAAAATAGTGCTTAACTTGATGATTCTTGCCAGAGTTTCTTGCCGGAGTGTGAATGGATAACTATTTCTCTCTCATACGGAACATTTTCATTATTTCCCTCTACCCAGACAGCTGCAACCTGATCCACTGTTGGCCAGTTGTAAACACGTTGATCTACTGCAGGATCTCTATTTATAATGATCTTTAAGTGTTCAAGAGATGGAAAATCATTCAGTTTCCGCAAAAATTTTGCATATGGGTTTCCTTCTAATATATCCATCAATCTTTTAGTTGTAGTCGTACTCATGTTTGCATTATCTAATATTCCCATTCGATTTTGCAACTCATTCTCCGTATCGTAGAAGTAAAGTTGAAAGTAGGAAGGCTTATTTTCTTCTGGAATTAAAGAGGGGAGGTTATGATATATTTGTCCTTGTGCTCTAAATGTGAAAATACCCTTTCTGTTTGATGCAAGTTCTCTATCAAACCTTGCCCCAAATGATGTGAATGAGAAAATGCTATTATACTTTTTGGTTTGTCTTCGAAACTCAATTGCCTCTTGGGTTTGTACTGTATAAAGGTCATATAACTCGTCATTAACATTCACATCTGCTAGGTGGATTTCACCATTGTGACAACAGGATGTTGGTGGCTCATGTTCAAACTTTTTTGCTCCACAAAATGAACAAGACTTTGGAGTGTGTAGTTTATGTAATAAAGAACATACTGATTCATGTGTAATTTGACATAGAAAAAAATAATAGTTTTTAGTGTTAAATAAATTTAGATATATAAAATCATGTAATTATTTTAATAAATTATAAAATTAATCTATGCAAACCTCCATGCTCATATTCTCGCTGTTGCGCTCCACAAAACAAATCAATCTTACGTTTTTCCTTGCTATTGGTACTACTGCCAGCAAAATCATTTCTTTTCATCTTTATATTATTATCAATGACCTTCTGAATGTAAGTTCTCTTCTGATCAACATTCAACTGATTATATTTGGTGTTTCTACTCTCATAAATTAGAATGTGTTCTTCTGTTAAAAAATAATGAAATATATTATTAATAAACACAAATACACATAAAGCAATAATAATATATATTTATGTTGAATTCAAACCTTGGTTTGAAGTCATTTGGAAGAAGGTACTCTTATGCAAATGTATAGTGATTATGCAATCCAAGAAGTAGAATGTAAATTTCTACAAGGAAAAAAAATTTAAAGTGTTAAATTATTGATTTTATTAAACATAAGTATAGCAGTGAATATAATTTGAGAGAATAAGTATATTTTAATTGATGTTCAATAGTACTTAAGGTTTTTTTTTTTGAGAAATTTGGTATACTATACATGCATCAGTAATCACAAATATCTCATATGCCAAGGTTAATTCTGTTTTTTAAAGTCATATAATAATAATAATAATAAATAGTTAAGTGTAGAAGAAGATAAATACAAGGAAATAGAGTTACCATCATTATGAACAAAATAAATAGAAAAGAGAAGAAAGTTGCTTAACTAACCTGAATCACCGACAACTTCAGAAATGTTTAAAAAAAAACAAGGCAAATCCAACCAAGTAGAATATCTGCATTAATATGAAAAAATGTTAAATTATTTAATCTATACGTAAAAGTGTATTACAAAAGTGCACATCATTTCACACAATGTTTTAAAAATATGATACTAAACATAGGAGGCTTATTAGAAATTCACCAAAATACTATTAATGAGGAATATATTTCTTGTGCACGCTATGTGTGCACGTACAAAATTTGTAGAAAAAACAAAAACTAACCCATTTCCATTTGAAAATAAAAAAACAGAATTTGTAGAAAAAACAAAAATAATGGGAGCACATAATGGCTCAGTATAGATATGAAGCTACTTCACAGCAATAGATATAATAGCTCAGTATAATTGAAGAAATGGGAGCACATGATGGTTTAGAATCAAATTCAACAGAAAGAAGTTAAGTCACGAAAACATATTCTCTTATAAGATAGACAGGGATGTACTTGGTGCATTTCATAGCCGACAAGGAACCAGACAAGAACTTATTGTGTCTTTGATAACAATAGATTTGTTTGACTAATTAACTAACAGGTTCAAGCATTGCATATAAGGTTAAATTGCACGAAGTTTGCAGAAATGTTGGCTTTGAAGTTCTTCAAAACATAGTTACTGAAGGCTTGAGATGAGATGAATTAATCAAAAAAGTGAAGAAATGATGAAAAATACCTAAATAGAAACTTAAAGGAAAATGTAAACAACAGATAAAGAAAAGGAAAACAATATTGTTTGACAGGAAAAATGAAATACTACATGCCATAACTCGTGCGGTTATGGATAATATGTACGGAGTTCAAAATAAATTAAACAAACGACCCAGATTAATTAAAAAAAGGAAGCCTACAGAGAAATCTTCATGACAGTATACTGTGATGGTGTAACTTTATATATTTTTTCTTAATTTATATAGTTAAAATACTTGTAAGTTCAACAATAACTGTTCATCTCTTTCCCACTATTCCTAGGGACCTAAAACCTTAGTGTATCTCACTAACAGATGAAACATAAACAGAAATTGAATGGCATAAGTCGGTGGTATACAAAAACCTGACATTCTTCATTGAGTATCCATTGTATTATTCTTTGTTTTATCTGATACAATATCATTTTACATTATTTTAAAAATTTATGCAGAAGAGCCAACATGCTAAATTTATGGTCTTATTGAAATATTTCATATAAGATGAATCAACAATGCAAGGTAGCTTTGATGACCAAAAAAATAACATTTGATTGTAGGAAAGAAATCACAACCGAAATCACAACCGAAATCACAACCTGAAAAATAAAATAACTCAACTCTATCATTTGTGATTCTCCGATTCCAGAACCAAATCAGAGACAACCCAAATCTTTCTCCTCTCCGATTCCAAACCAAATCAGAGAAACGGCGATGCAATTAATTCATAGTTTCCAGGTAATAAAAAAACAGACTGCGGATTAGCAATTCAATATTTGGAAGCTTAGAAATCCACTAATCATGTAACATAATTTTTTCAGATGCAATTTTGTGAGCAACAGGCAGGCCAATGTTAGCCTTTAGCAATGTTTTTTTTTTAACATGAAAACATCAATTATCTTATAGGCAAAAGGCTCCTGAAACCAAGGAGATAAAAAATGAAGCCTACAGAGAAATCTTCATGACATTATACTGTGATGGTGTAACTTTATATATTTTTTCTTAATTTATATAGTTAAAATACTTGTAAGTTCAACAATAACTGTTCATCTCAAATTGTTTGGTTGTCAAGTAAACAATAGTAAACAAGAAACATAGCTTGGCTAAAGGAAACAGTAGTAGTCTCAAATTGTTTGGTTGTCAAGTAATATTTTTCATTCAACATATGCAACTCTTATCATAACTGAACATAATGAAAAGAGAAATGCAACCTTCTGCTGAAACCATTTATAATCTATTTGAAAAATTATAATCTATTTGAAGTTCTTCACCTAAAACATGCAATAATGAACGATTCCGAGCTATGAAAAGAGAAATGCAACCTTCTGCTAAAGCTATTTATATGTATGGTTCCCACAGTATCAAAGTTAAAAATCTATTTGAAGTTCTTCACCAGAAACATGCAATAATGAACGATTCCAAGCTATACATTATGTAGGCTAACATCAGTCCTTGTCTCACAAGGAATAAATTATAGATCAAATGACGAATACATTCTTGCCCATGACATAACTCAGGAGGGGAAAAAGCACTCGCTGTTTTAAGAGAGAAATAATGTTACCCCTTCTGAGATACATTAAGTTCATGGAGGGCTCTAAAATAGTTGTTTTAAAGTCATGCTATTGTCTATAGACTCAATAACTCTAGAAAGAGAGAAAAATACACTTGTGAGCATGCCAAATGGACATAAAAGACAGTGAGTTATGCTGCAACAGATGGAGTATTATGGGGTAAAAGATTTCCATATTTCATAAATACGCATATTCACCTAATAGACATTAGAAGAAAAGCATTGCTAAAGAGAAGCAGTTAGAAAACTTCAAGTTATCAGATGCAAAACCACAACAGATATTGCGTTCTTTCTTTCACTTCCTTTCACATTCATCCAAGTAAATGATAGCAGCCAAACTAACTGTAGAAGCATATGCAAGTATCACAAGCTACTACATTGCAAGTTAAAATTGCAGGAAGATAACATGATTGGTTGTAAATGAATCACAAGTTACTCCATGTTCTACAATCTTTACAGGCTACAGTGAAATATATGTAAGAATATAAGAATTGTTACCTTGGACTAAAGGTGAACTTCTGCCAATGTTTGAGTAGGCCTTTATGCAAGCGATTTCCCTAAAGTCATGATCAAATAATTAAAAATTAAAGAAGAGCCAACATGCTAAATTTATGGTCCTATTGAAATATTTCATATAAGATGAATCTATCTGATTCATCTTATCCTATTGAAATATTTCAAATAATGGGTTCCAAGCTATACATTATGTAGGCTAACATCAGTCCTTGTCTCACAAGGAATAAATTATAGATCAAATAACGAATACATTCTTGCCCATGACATAACTCAGGAGGGAAAAAAGCACTCGC